TAGCGTGTATGTGATCCTCCGCTGCCAATCAGAAGAGGTGGCTAAAAAAAAAGAAAAAAGCGAAGCGGTTTTTTATTACGAGAAAAAATAGGCTCATGTACAGATTAAACACCCCCAGTCTATTTTACTTGATTATTAATTAAGAAACCTAACGGTAACGTAACAATCTAATTAACCTCACGTTAATCTACCCAAATCTAACTAATCTACGCTAATTTAACCTTACACTAATCTAAACAAACTTAACCTAACCTAACCCTCCCCAGGTAACGTTAGGTCAGTGAATCATTATTTGCAGTAAGCTGGGGTGTCTAATCTTCACGTGATCCAAAAAAAGAAAAAAATTATTATTCCACAATCATTCCGTCTCAGATCAATCCTCATTCACTCGTTGTCTTATTCTATAACATTTTATTTTTCCCTCCAGAGAAAATAAACAAACAAAAAACGATAACCTCACTACTATTCAATTCCAAATCAATTCTTTCTCAATCTCGTCCAGTGACACTTTACTTCCTCCCTTGGCGGATAGAAATGGAACGTTGCCAGAAAGTGGAATTGTGTTCAGAAAATAGAATAATGTTAATGGATATAGTTTTTTTTCCCACTGGATAAAGGAAAGTATGCAAGAAAGAGGGGAGAACATCTAACTATGCAATGAAATAAAGTGTTTACAAAGAGACAACTACAATATCTACAGAATATTATGTTTACAAAAATAGGAATCTGTAGCTTACCAGCATAGTTTACAATGTTTAGAGAAAGTAGGTTGTTTTGTGAGTTCAGGAAAGTATTAACAGAACACGACCCTCGGTATCTGGGGTGTGGTAGGTGATGATGTTGAGAGTATAGTGTGGTAGGTGATGATGTTGAGAGTATATGGTGTGTTGTGGTGGCATACAGGGCGCGTAAGGCGTGGCAGGAGTAGAGAGGAATGCACGGGTGAGTGACCCCATACATATATAATGTCATTATGTATACCTTCACGCCTCCCCCAACCATGCACAATCATTCACATTTGATTTACTTTCTGACTGATTGGTAACTTGGCTGAGTTGGCTGGTTGAGTGGCATTTACTGACAAACTGAGTGACTGACTGACTAGTTAAATGAGTAAATGAGTCACCGAGTGACTGCCTGACAACTCAAGTGACTTGACTGGATCAGATCACTGACGTAGATGACTGACTCACCGACTCACTACTGCAAATTTCTTACCGCAGTTGTATATTCCAGGATCTGTCCTCTCACATCAAGTTTAATAAAAAATAAATAAACTATTGTCTACACAAAATTATGCATAAGATTTGTGTACAACAGCCTATATATATATGGGAGATATTTTTGTTTTTGTATAATATATCCATAAAAGGTTATTTCCAAGGATATCTTAAGTTTTTTATCACGATCAAATGAGTTAACCGTTATTATTATTTTCATTATTATTATTATAATTTTGTCGTTGCTTGTTATTATTTTTTGGTTATTATTATTGTTATTATTATCATCATTGTTGTTGTAGTGGTTATTACTAATATAAACTTCTTATGCTGTTAAATTTTACTTTCTTACAACATTTCGGTACAAATTCACTTTCATTAAGGGGTAATTCTTAAGGTTACTCTACAATCCGTTGTTTCAGTTTCGTCGTTTTCAGTTTATAAAAACCGTCTCACTTACACTAAAGAAGGAATACCAGTACAGGTCTCAGCAGGTGCCCAACAAGGTAGGCATATGCCGTAAGTATTTATTATGTGGTGGTCGCCTCCTGGACAACCTTGACCCAGTGTAGGGCTGGCTGTGTCCGCCTCTCACTGGCGACTAGTTGGCGCCACACCACGAAAAAAACACCACCACCTGACCGCCACCAGCCCGCTGTGGCCACACTACCACTCCCCCCACTTCACCAGGCCCGCCGTGGCCACACTACCACTCATACCACCACCAGGCCCGCCGTGGCCACAATACCACTCATACCACCACCAACCCACTCATCTCCCTGGTGTGGACTGTCAGCTGGAGGTTGTGACACTTTATGACTTACTGTTGTTTGTGTAATATTCCTGCATTGTTTTTTTGGGGGGTGGGGAGAAGGACTCGCACTAAGGGTCACCTAATGATTAAACATCTGAACGCTATCCTGACCTAACCTAACCTATCCTAAACTAATCTAACCTACCCAAACATGACCCGAAATTACCTAAGCTAAATAAACCTTATCTAACCTAATCTCCCAGATAGTGGCTGAGTTTTTAATCATGAGGTGAAATAAGTTGGGAGAGTTAACCTACAGGCTGTCCCACTCACAGCATCCAGGAGGTTATGACAGGTCCATAAGTGTAAGTCATCTTCGTGTATTTATCGTGCACACTGAGGAACTCCCTGACACAGTTCTCTATATATCATAAAACCTTCCCAGCAGTTCAAATTACCCTACTTGAAATATCTGCAGTCGTTGGCAAGGGGACGCCTCGGTGTATATTAAACAACAGCACTTTTGTAACATTCATATCTCTCAGTGTTCTACTTGTAAAAAAAGCAAGAGTTTATATTTAGCAACAACAACAACAACCGCAGCTGTGGAATGCACCAGGTGGTGGTTGTGACTGTCGAGAAAATAAATGGAATCTTCCGCATGTTGACGCCCTCAAGGAGCGCGGCAGTCTACCTCCTCGGCAACCACTCATAACCCAGGAATGTATCAGGCTATAACTGGCTGCCAAATATATTGAATCCCAGACATAACTGTTACGAACCACGCCATCAATTGTCATGATCTACCTACCCAGCACTACGAACCACGCCATCTATTGTCATGATCTACCACCCAGCACTACGAGCAACGCCATCTAGGGACGAAACCCGAGTATGACTTGTCTTAGTTACCACTCCGGGGTTTCCCTTCTCCATATCCTGGTTGTTGCCTCACCTCCTCCAAGTCTTCCTCATCAGCTCCAGATCGAGGAGAGTTCAGTTCACTCTGGGAAGTGACCACACTAGGATCACCTATCCTGGAAACCTACGGCACAGTGACTACCTACCATCTTCTTCAATACTCAGCCTTACTCGTCAGACATCTCAGCTCAGCACTTAAGTATTTGTTATCCTATATTGCCTCCCAGCGTCCACTTGCTTCAAATTGTTGTATAAACATGTATATACTGTTAAGCCAATGTTGCGTATGTTTAGGTTAAGTATGGTTAAGGGTAAATTATATAAAGATGAATATTTTGTTAAGGAATTTAAGGTACTTTATTATACACAACAAAAACTCGCATCCTTTGTCTACCCTTTTATAGTCCGATTGTCTTTGTTTTTTTATTGTTGTTGCCTGTTGGGATCTGGGTAGACTTTTAACTATATTCTAAATCCCCAACTCGTAACATAACTAACATGAGGAGTGTGTCGGTTTACTTGACTCTTCAAAACCCTGGAATTAACTGGGTGTTTTGTCTCTTTGGTTCTGAAATACTGTATATAGAAAGCCTCTTGCCAGGTGGCCAAACAGTGAATGGAATCTCCCGTGTCATTTATGTTGTCTGCACATCAACCAATCACAATCTTGGAACTCGCTAAGCAGTAGTAATGATTGCCTGGAATCTTAAGTGCTTATATCCCCGAAATTACACGCATGCCAATCCGCATTAAAAAAAAGACTGATTATAATTGGCCCCTAAGTTAACCTAATCCTCACGTACCAGTATTCAAAGGCGCCCAACTCATTACTCGCATCCATTAATAACACAAATTACCGAAAACACTAATTATACAAGACAAAACCCAATGGCATTACAAATATAGTAACAGGAATTAAGCTATAATCTTTCCTGTAAACAAGGGGTGATTATAGGTCTAAAATAATAGCGTAATACATATGATTATAGTTCTTTGGGAGGGAGAAAGGGAGGGAAGTCGGTAGGTATATCCCTTCATGATATAATATGTGGAGGGGGGGGGGGTTATGTGGGGGTGACAGAGAACAATATAAGTGATGCCGGCAGCTAAATACTGCCTGCTGTATTATGGTCTACGGCAGTGTGAGAGTACCAAGAGTGTGTCAAGAGTACCAAGAGTGTGTCAAGAGTACCAAGAGTGTGTCAAGAGTACCAAGAGTGTGTCAAGAGTACCAAGAGTGTGTTAAGAGCACCAAGAGTGTGTTAAGAGTACCAAGAGTGTGTCAAGAGTACCAAGAGTGTGTTAAGAGTACCAAGAAAGCTCATGACAAAGTGGGCTGTAATGTGCGACAGGTGGACGGTGATAAGTGGACGGAAAGAAGATGTACAAAGGGGTAATAGGTGGGTGACATAATGTGCGAAAGCAAAACGATTAAGGTGAGAAATTTGCGGCATAAAGTGCGAAAGGTGGAGCATAAAGTGCGATACGTGGGTGATGTGCGAAAAGTCGGTTGATGAAGTGCGAAAGATGGGTGCCATAATGAGCGACAAGTGAGTGACGATATTGAGGAGGAGGGGGGAGAGGGTGGGGGGGGGAGAGGGTAGAAGGCAATAATGTACGACAGGTGGGTGTGTATGTGAGAGTAAAGGCAGGTGTGTGTGTGTGTGTGTAAAGGAGGAGTGAGAGTGCCAATACCAAGGACGAGGTCACCCAGAATAGCCCCCCCTCCCTGTTTGGCACCCCCCAGGCACTAGATATTCAACGAGTTCAAAAGTTGTAATTTTATGATGTACCTTTTTTTCTCTCGTAAGGCTGCACAGGGAAGGACCAAACGTGTAACTTTTTTTCCAGGCAAGGTCGAGTCTCAGTGCAAATTCGACGCCATCTTTTCATCTCGCCATAATGACACTCGGGAGATATGGAGAAAACACAGACCACATCGGTGTAAGGGGATGTTGGGGATGTCAACAGGACCTATACCATGATGGCACCATGTTTATAAGGTCTACCACATGATGGCACCATAAACAAGAGAGGATCTACAATGACGGCATCATAAACAAGAGAGAACCTGCAATAATGGCATCATAAATAAGAGAACCTACCATGATGGCGACGTATCGACGGAGGGATTGTGGTAGGGGTCCATCACCAGACAACAGCTCGTGGTGGAGCCTGGAGAAGGACTCGAGGTAGGTGGGGTGATCTGCCAGCATGTGCTCCACACTGTCGCCTTCACAGGCCAGGCCAAGATGACCCTGAAACATAACAAAAAGGTCAACACAGGTCAAGGTTTTTATATCATGACCTCCCTTTTTACTCTATCACAATGAAGGTCAAGCCGAACCTATACCTACCTACCTACTTGCCCGACTGACTGACCCTACAAGTCCCCAGTACAAAATAATATGATGTTAAGACGGATCACCTGAAGATTAGACACCCACTAGTTTATTTCACCTGATATTAAACTCCTTAACGCTACATGGGGATGGGGGGAGGATAGGATACGTTGAAGTGGGTTAGGCTAGGTTACGTTAGGTTAGGTTCGACTAGGTTAGGTTAAGTTATGTTAGAATAGCTTAGCTTGGTTAGGTTAAGTTAGGTTAGGTAAACGTTAGGGTATTTACTCATCAGGTGAAATAAACTAAGTGGAATTTAATATTCATATGATTCCTGAAGACTTATGAGATTCGTCAAAAGTCCTCGTCAGACTTCACAACTTCAGTCTACAGTATATCGCATGGATAAATTACCTCAGTCCACTTAACAACTACGAAAGTTAACATTGCAACAGGGGTGAAATACAACCCTTTAATCTGGATATATTTCCTCACTGACATTTAAACAGACACAAAGTAAACAATAACAACAATACTGACAACACAATTTTCAGTTTACGCTCAAATATGCGTTGGACAGATACACGTTTCATAATAATGGTTAGGTGTAAACAAACTGCTTCATACAGAGTCAACAAGCCGATACAGTACTACAGTTTATTATTATTATTACGTCACGATACAATTCCAAGTTCATAACACCGAAGCCTTCAGTCCACTTCTATACTAAATTAAGACTGAGAAAATAGTGTACTCCCATAATGCTAAAATTCCCCCAGAACATCGAGGGGAATTCTTAAAAGCTCGTTGATAATGTCCCGGTGTGGGGAATTTTTTACGGTTCGTGCTCAAAGCCTCAACTTGGTCAGGATTTTTCCCCAGGAGTGTCTAATCTTCAGGTGAAATAAGCTGGGAGTGTCTAATCTTCAGGTGAAATAAGCTGGGAGTGTCTAATCTTCAGGTGAAATAAGCTGGGAGTGTCTAATCTTCAGGTGAAATAAGCTGGGAGTGTCTAATCTTCAGGTGAAATAAGCTGGGAGTGTCTAATCTTCAGGTGGAATAAGGTGGGGTGTCTATTCTTCAGGTGGAATAAGCTGAGAGTGTCTAATCTTCAGGTCACCGAGAAATTACTACTTTACCTGTACTTTATATTTAAATCTGTACTTCTATCAATATTTATGGGCAAAAAATCTGTGGTTCTGAATAACACTTGAGATGGTCAATTAATGTACTGCAATAACATGATGGAGTTTACAAATTCCATCTCAAAAGGGTCGACAATCAAGACAAAACAGCAGGAAGAAAAAAAAAACACCCGTGCTTAAGTTTAGTTAAGAATAAATCAGTCACCTCTCGCAAATATTCTGTGAACAAAACTATTCATGGTAACGGGAGGAAAAAACAAAAACAACTATATCAACCCAAGAGAGTAAGTACACCGTGTAGTTACCATGGTGATTAAACATACCTTTACCATGGTTACTGTACAGAGAACATCCAGACTCAACCATTATTTACCAAAGTACGTATTGTTATCAAAGGTAAACAATAAGATTGCATCGTAAACATTGCTACCTTGGTTACGAAACTTAATATTTACAATGATAAATACTCTACTGTTACATTTGTTACATTATACCTGTAGATTACGTTACCCCGGAAACCCAACCATGAGTGAGTTAGTGAGAGAATGTTACCATGATTACAATGGATGGCGTTGTTGTCATGGTATTACTCTGGTTACGTCGTTACCATGGAAATGGGTGAGGGATGGTCAGCCAGGGTGGACGCCACGGACCGTCACGGACGTCTGTAAGGAACACAAAAGAACACCACCGTTAGTACGTGAACCGGTAACAATTGGGTACGTGAATTTGTAACCCTGGTTAGGAGAGTGTACGTGGATATGTAACACCAGCTACGGTCATGTACGTGTATTTTTAAACCTTATTAGAAGTATGTACAGTCCCCTTCACTAGTGAGTTTACAGGTCCTCATAAAAACATTCCACAAATTTGATTCCATAGTGTTTACTATTGCGAGGTTCTCTCTGTCGAATGCAAACAAACACAGGGCTCCCACACTGCACAAAACCTGACGAGCCCCTGTAAACGCACTAGTGAATGGGACTATACGTACTGTAGATATGGAATAACCAATTAAGGACATGTAAGTGCACTTGTAACCCTGGTTAGTGTACACACATACATACATATAAAAATACCATTTAGAGTTTGAGGGCAGGTGTAATGTGAACACTTGTGTGGTGGTGGTGGTGGTGGTAGTGCACGTGTAAAACTGAACACTTATTACACAGGTATAAGTCATGCATCAAGACACCTGTTCTGCTCGCTACAGATGTTTATGTCCATGAATACAAAATAGATTAATAAACGCGATGTATAATTCAAGGGTGATTTAATTAAACCTATACTAAACATAAATCACCTGTAGAGATTAAACCAAGCCAGGAAATAGTCAAATTATACCACAGCTAAATCGAAACCAAAGCTCAGAGTTAAACCAATTGCTTAAAGTATATATCCCAGCTAAAACTGTACTACTAAAAGAGGTAAGCTAAACCAGAGCTAAAAGTATAATCTGGAGCTATAATTAAACGTGTACCAGAGGATTTACCATCCCCGTACAGCTGACTCTGTTTATCCTCGCCAGATGCACCCGGAACACACACACACACACACACGTACGTACGTACGTTTTCTCTCTCCTCTCTTACGCTTTCCCTCCATCTCTCCCTGGACTCCCTTCTCCCCCTTCACTCCTCCCTCCCTTGCAGCTCTTCATACCATCAATCCTGGCACTCCTCCCTCTCTCTCCCTGGCAGCTGGCAGCTCCCCCCCTTCATACCATGGCAATCCCTGGCAGCTGTCCCCCTCCCTTCCTTCTCTCCCTGGCAGCTGTCCCCCTCCCCCCCTCCCTCCTCCCTCTCCCCTGGCAGCTGTCCCCTCCCTTCCCTCTCTCCCTGGCAGCTGTCCCCTCCTTCCCCTCTCTCCCCTGGCAGCTGTCCCCTCCCTTCCCTTTCTCCTGGCAGCTGTCCCCTCCCTTCCCTCTCTCCCCTGGTAGCTGTCCTCCCCTCTCTCCCCTGTCCCCTCCTCCCCTCTCTCCCCTGGCAGCTTCCCCTCCCCCTTCCCTCCCTCCCTGGCAGGCCCCCTTCCCCCCTCTCCCTGGCAGCTGTCCCCTCCCCTCCTTCCCTCTCTCTACCTGGCAGCTCTCTCCCTTCCCTCCCCTGGCAGCTCCCCCCTTCATACCCTCTCCCTGGCAGCTTCCCCCCCTCCCATTTTGGTACACTACTGGGCCTCCCACATCCTTGTTGACAACTCATCTCTCCCTTTTATTGACTCCCTGACACATAGTTGGCAACCCCTCCCTGCCTCCCTATCCAACTATCCTGCCCACCCACTTTAATGCAACTATCCAGTCTTTCAAACGTCCTTACCTAACTATCCTGATGATCTTAATGCATCTATCCGGTCCTCTAACTGTCTATCCAATTATCCATAAATCTCTCTCTCTCTCTCTCTCTCTCTCTCTCTCTCTCTCCCGAACGTATTTAATATAAGGTATGAGAGGTCTTGACCGACATGATAAGGGAAGTTAACGGAGGGAAAACCCAGGGAGTAAGGATAAAGGGCACCGAGTCAACTGATAAACACCTGATTAAATACTGATAACAGGTGATCATGTTACCTGGTCACGTGGGTAGAAAAGAGAAAAAGAGAGAGACCTTCCCAAATGCACCTTTAGTTTCTTCGTGACAAAGGGAGATACGCGTAGGCCTCAGCCCCCGCCCCCCCCGTGGTGTAGAGAAGAAAATCAATATTTAGGGCAAGATGAGGGCGGCCCTTCCAACAGGTACTATGTATGCACGCTGAGAGTGAGAGAGAGAGAGAGTATGGTTATGTATGCATGTTTATATCGAACCAGTGTGTGTGTGTATCCCCCCCTCCCTCCCTCCCTCTCTCTCTCGTCCTTCCCTCGTCTCTCACCTCTCCCTTAACCCACCCTCCCTTTTCCCTAACCCGCCCCCTTCTCTCACCTTTCCCCCAATCACCCCTTCTGCCAACCCCCCTTTATCCTGACACCTGCCTGACAGCTAAACAGCCCCCTCCCTCCCCTCACCTGTCCTGCCATGAGTTGCCACAGCCCTTGACATCAACCTCTTGCTTACCCCTCACCCCCTTGCGAGAGAGAGAGAGAGATCAACCGCTAAAACAGATACAAACACAGACAGACAGACACACACCCACACACACACACACACACAATATAAAAAACTGGTAGACTGTGAGCCAACACACAACCCAACACCCATTGATGAAGAAAAAAAAAACATATATAAATAAATAATATATTAAGTTAAGAAAAAAACAATAATAGACCAAGCAAACAAATAAACAACGTAGTTATAAAACCAACACACACGCGCACACTACACACACACACACACACACACACACACACACACACACACACACACGCACAACACACACACACACACTGTACGTTTTGATCTGGAAATGACGTCACGTCCTCTCTGACTAACATGGTACATGATCACACCACTCCCTCTCACACCACTCTCCCTCTCACACCACTACCACTCCTCACACCCAAACATACACCACTCCTCTTTCCCTCTCACCAACACACCCCACTCCTCTTTCCCTCATATCAACACACCCCACTCCTCTTTCCCTCATATCAACACACCCCACTCCTCTTTCCCTCTCATCAACACACCCCACTCCCAAACACACCCCCCATCACTATATCGGGGATAAATAAAACAAAAAACACAGCTGCTTCTCAGAGTATCAAAACAAACGGAGATAAAACACACCCACGTGCAGGGAAGGATCCGACAGAGTTCACTGGCCGTATTAGCAGAGGGGAAACACACACACAGTCTACAGTAGGTACTTCAGGGAGCTACAGTAGAGGCACAGGACTGGGGGAGAAGGGGAGAATAGTGGGGGAGAAGGGGAGAATAGTGGGGGAGAAGGGGAGGAATAGTGGGGGAGAAGGGGAGGAATAGCGGGGGAGAAGGGGAGGATATTTGGCTTATTGGGGAGAAATTGGAGGTTATCATTCTACAACTCCCACTAACGCACTCTACGACCACCACTAACGCATTCAACGACTCCCCCTACTAACCCACTCAACGACTCCCCCCTACTAACCGACTCAACGACTCCTCCACTAACCGACTCAACGACTCCCCCACTAACCCCACTCAGCGACTAACTAACCGACTCAACGACTCCCCCACTAACCGACTCAACGACTCCCCCACTAACTCCCCCCACTCAACGGCTCCACTAACCCACTCAACGACTCTCAACGGCTCTAACCCACTCTCCCCACTAACCCCACTCAACGGCTCCCCACTAACCCCTCAACGACTCCCCCACTAACCCACTCAACGACTCCCCCACTAACCCACTCAACGGCTCCTCCACTAACCCTCCCTATTAACCCACTCTACCCCCCCCTCCCTCCCTCCCCACCCGACCAATCCGGTAGCCTCACAAAAGCGAGTCAATCCGCAGTTAAATATGATCTAATAAAGGTCGTCACTAAATACATACATACATATTCATGAGGTTAGGTTGTATTTAGCTTATTCTTCTATTGTCATATTAGTAATACGGTTGTCTGTCTTCCTGTCTATCTGTCTGTCTGTCACCCATCCAAATATCTATCCATCCATCCATTTATCCAGCCGACCCCCCAGCTACCAAAGGTCACTCACATCAATCCATCTTTAAATAAAGTCCCCCCATCCCCCTCCTCTCTCCCTTCCCCCCCCTCTCTCCACCTCCGTTTATACTGTGTACCTGTGGGGGTCATGGAGAACACACGTGTCTCTGTCTGTCTGTCTGTCTAACACAACACAACAATCCCCGGCCAGATGTGAAGGAGAGAGGCCAGCGATCCATGCACTCAATCCTGAAGTCTTGTGTTGACACCAAAACATAGTGTTGACGACAGTGTGTGTATGTTAAAGTTCGCAGTGTAAACAGGTGAAGACGTGGTGTGAGTCCCCCCCACTCCCCTCCCAGGTAACGAAGGCGTGTGAATCCCTCCTCCCTTTCATTTCCCTTCCCATCCTTAAGTTAGGAAGGACTACCGGTATGTCCTTCCTTCCTTCCTTCCCCCTCTCCTTCTTCTTCCCCTCCTCCCTCTCTACGTGACACTTCTACACGAAATTGTTTTTACCGTCAGGTGTGATGGAGAGATCTACCTACCTGCCTGCTACCATAAGGTTCAAGTGGTGGTGGGGGAACGTGGGAGGATAGCTCGAGGAGACAGGTGTGGTTTGGCACGGTATACCTCACTGGCATCTGATCATTACACAGCACTGGCAACACCAACACTACCTCCACCACCACCACCACCGTGCTAGGAACACATTGCTGGTGGTAATGGGTGATGGTGGTAATGGGTGATGGTGACAGTGATGGTAATGGTGTTTGATAGCTAATACACACACACACACACACACACACACACACACACAAAACATCTTTACTAAACAGATAACCATTCACATCTCGAGATCTCCTGGACATAATCCAACTTTCTACACTCGCCAGAAACATCAAATAAACACCTTAATCACCTCCAACACCCAAAACACTGGTGACAAATAAATTTATTATGATTCATATAACCTTCTGAACCCACCACCACTACCACAACAACAACAACACGCCCACACTGTTTAAACATGAATAAAAATAATTACTATTGACGTGTCGAATGTTGGCCTGAAGTCATCGTCCTCCA